GGGGGAAGAGGGAGAGAGGAAGGGAAGGGAGAGGGTGAAGTGAAGGGAGAGGCAGTAAACTCTAGACAGGCACTGATATAAGCCTTCAATAAACTTAAACCCATTACAGAGAGTGTGAGCTGACTACCCTCCTGGACACGTAGCCCCTCGACACGTGTGAGCAAGACAGCCTGGGACACGTGTGGAGCTTAAGACACGTACTGGGACACGTGTGGACTTAAAGACGTAGCCTGGGACACGTGTGGGCTAAAGACACGTAGCCTGGGACGTGTAGGCAAAGACACGTAGCCTGGGACACGTGTGGAAGCAGGAACACGTAGCCTGGGACACGTGTAGGCTTAAAGACACTGTACAGGACACGTGTGGAAGCAAAAACACGTAGCCTGGGACACGTGTGGGCAGACACGTAGCCTGGGACGTGTGGGCAAGACACGTAGCCTGGGGACACGTGTGGGCAAAGACACGTAGCCTGGGACACGTGTAGAGCAAGACACGTGGCCTGGGACACGTGGCCTGGGACACAAAAACTCTGTTGTAGACTCGATTATATATAAAGAGAGAGAGAGAGATAATATAGACAGACAGATAGATAGACAGATAGACAGATAGATAGACAGATAGATAGATAGATAGATAGATAGATAGACCCCTCCCTACCCCCCACCAAATAGCAGTGAACCCAGGCAATATGTAGTTCAGGCACCGGTGTGAGAATTATGAATGGGCGGTAATGAACGACCGTGAGGGGGAAAAACTAGGGGAAAAAGGAAAAAAATACAGGGAAAAATTGGGGGAAAAAGAGTGGATGAACGAGGAGAAAATAAGTGAACTGGAAGAGAATTGGGGAAATATGTGATAACTAGGGGGAAATATAGGGGAAATAAAGGAAAATTAAGGCACATAATAGATATTCCCTCATGAAAATTTCCCCCATGATAGTTTTCCCCCCATGACAGTTTTCCCCCATGACAGTTTTCCCTCATGACAGTTTCCCCCATGACAGTTCCCTCATGGCAGTTTTCCCCATGACAGTTTTCTCATGACAGTTTTCCCCCATGACAGTTTTCCCCCATGACAGTTTTCCCCCATGACAGTTTTCCCTCATGACAGTTTTCCCTCATGACAGTTTCAAAAGCTTTTAGGTAGATGACGTGAATTATTTAGCTTCGTGTGTTATATAACCAACCAGAGTATTTTCCTGCCTTATTTAGCTGTTTTGGCAAGTTTTTAGTTTATAGCTGCTGTGGTGAAGCTGTGGTACTGTGGTGAAGCTGAAGTACTGTGGTGAAGCTATGGTACTGTGGTGAAGCTGTGGTACTGTATTGAAGCTGTAGTACTGTGGTGAATCTGTGGTACTGTGTTGAGGCTGTGGTACTGTGTTGAAACTGGTAATACGGTGAAGCTGTGGTACTGTGGTGAAGCTGCGGTACTGTGGTGAATCTGTAGGTACTGTGTTGAGGTTGTGAGTACTGTAAGTTGAAGCTGTGGTACTGTGTTGAAGGTATCAGTAGCTGCGGGTACTGTGGTGAGCTGCGGCATTGTGGTGAATCTGTGGTACTGTGTTGAGGCTGTGGTACTGTGTTAAAGCCGGTACTGTGTTGAAGCTGTGGCACTGTGGTGAAGCTGTGGTACTGGTGGTGGCTGTGGTACTGTGTTGAGGTTGTTGTGGCTGTGGTGAAGCTGTGGTACTGTGGTGAAGCTGTGGCACTGTGGTAGCGCTGTAATGTGTTGGCTGTGGTACTGTGTTGAAGCTTTCGTAGTACTGTGGTGAAGCTGTGATACTACGGTAGTTTTCGTGGTACTGTGGTGAAGCTGTAGGCACTGTGGTGAGTCTGTGGCACTGTGTTGATGGTACTGTGGTAGCTGTGCACCGTGGTGAATCTGTGGTACTGTGTTGAGGCTGTGGTACTGTGGTGAATCTGTGGTACTGTGGTGAAGCTGTGGTACTGTGGTGAAGCTGTGGTACTGTGGTGAAGCTGTGGTACTGCGGTGAAGCTGTGGTACTGTGGTGAAGCTGTGGTACTGCGGTGAAGCTATGGCACTGACTTAGCTTTGTCACTGTGACTTAACTTTGGCACTGTGACTAAGGTGTGGCACTGTGACTTAGCTGTGGCACTGTGACTTAGCTGTGGCACTGTGACTTAGCTGTGGCACTGTAAGAAGGGTAACGAGACGATGCTGACGTTAGTTGTGGCATTAAACGTAAATGAAACGAGAAAACACCAAGGTGAATGGTGATTGGCAGATGGAGGGTTGTTAAGGTGTTAATGACTGGTGCAGGCAGCAGTAGTTGGCCCGCTAATAGGGTAGTTTGGGTGGTGCTGCAGGTCAGAGGTCGTTAATGGCGGCCACAACGACTTTGCCTCTTGGATGTTAAATATATATCTTAAGGTCGTTTCGATTTTAACTTTCGTCTTTATTACCTGTTAGCATTTATCGGCCATATTTCGGGGGTATTTCAGGTGATATTTTGGGGGAATTTTCTCTGGGTGGGGATATTTGGGGGAATTTTCTCTGGGTGGGGATATTTTTGGGGAATTCTTATCTGGATGGGGATATTTTGGGGGAATTTTCTCTGGGTGGGGATATTTGGGGGAATTTTCTCTGGGTGGGGATATTTTTGGGGAATTCTTATCTGGATGGGGATATTTTGGGGGAATTTTCTCTAGGTAGGGATTTGTGGGGGGAGGGAATTTTCTCTGGGTGAGCATATTTTTTGGGAATTTATTTTAGGATGGTTTTTTAGGGAGAATTTTCTCTAAGGTGGTGATTTTTTGTAGGGAATTTCCTTTGAAGTTTTAATTTGCTTCACATTTCATTTCCTTTATTTTTTTTTTAACATAATATCTCTTCCAATTAATTTTATTCACATAACATTTACAGTAATTCTTGCAAATTTAATTACTCTACATATTTTAATAATTTTCCCTATTTTTAATATAATTTCCCTGTACATATCACTAGCTCTTTTTTCCACCCTGTATTTTTTCCCCCTCTTCAGTATTTACCATTCATGAAACAGAATAATTAAATATCCAATATTGCCGCACAGACAAGGGGAATATTTTTAACGCCAAACTGTAGTTGTAAAAGTCGCGAAATAATTTAATTAAGGTAAGTGTGTGAACGACAACTACTGCACTCGAACGACACGCGAAATGGGTAACTCGACTTGGTACGGGATAGTCACCCTTATTGTCCTCTATCTATAGGGGTGAAAATGGCGCGTTATGCATACGTGTATTAAGTTCCCCGATGTCGCGTGTTAGTTTGGTATGGATAGATAGAAGGAATTCAACGCTTTTAATAGATGTTTCTTATTGTATTTGTGAGGTTAGGTTAGGTTTGTGGGCTTATTTGATGTAATTCTTGGATTAAGTTTGTGTGTGTGTGTGTTTAATCTCAAGAGTGGATGGAAAAAAGACTGTAATGTGATATCTTAAACTATCATTCCTAGGATATAATTAATAACAGAATAACAAAATACTCTACCAGACTCTTAGTATATTGTGTATGTTGTGGTGTATAATATGATAAGATTGAATGTATAATAGTTAAAACATTTTGTAAATTATTCACTAAATGACAACTCGGTGACGCTGTACCGAATAGAGGGAACTAACCATAAACATACAACTGCCTGATGAACGATAATACTGATAGAGTTATATTTTCCCTCTACGTCTAGAATATTATTACCATCCGCATCATTAAACATATAAATAATCTTATCTCTCCTATAAAACAGACCGTAGTAGCTATCAGTCATTTCCAGAAGTGACGTAGAAATGAGAAGTAAAAAAAACCATGTTATCAGAGGACGGCAGCAGAACTCGCGGGAAAACTCTTGGGTCGTAAACAGAGCGCGGGAACTGTGAGCCAAGAGTATGAGTAAGAGCTTGTAAAGGACCGCTATAAAGAGCTCTCTGGCGGGTACTTGGGCACAGATATTGTCTTATATTAGCTTACAGATTTCTAGCTTTGAGAAGAATATATATATTTTTTATGACGGGATAAATATTATGAAAGAAGCATTTAATATATATTATATGACTATAGTTTTTCTCCGCTTATCTATATGTAGTTTCCCTTACGTCCCTCTCTCTCTCCCCCCACCCTATCCCACCTCCTCCCCCTAACTGGGAAAACTCATCTAACTGACTCGTTTAAGTTACGACACAAAGATGACCAGGGGGAATGAGGGGTAGGGGGAGGGAGGGGGGGGGGGTATAGCGTCAAAATTACACTGAAACTAGACACGTATCTTGATGTGTTTTCTTACCAGTGATACATACGTGTTGGAATGTAATATAACGTGTACAAGTGGTTTTAAGAATGTGGCCTTTAGGTTATTGGGCAACACACACACACACACACACACACACACTCGTAATGTCTGGCCAGAATTGGTTACGCGCTCACAGTATTGACTAGAGATGTTGCCAGCGCTAATTACACCTCTAAATTTGCCAACTTTTCAATACCTGTGACTCGCTTGGTATGGAAACTATTTTAATAAATGAGGTGACTGGATTCTCACCTGTGTGTGGGGGAGGGGAGGGGGGGGGTGTTAGTGGTGGTATTAGTGGTGTTGTGGTGTAGTTATTGTTGTGGTGTTGTGGCTGTTGTGATGTTAGTGGTTTGTGGTGTAGTGATGATGTGATGATGTAGTGGTGTTGCCGTGGTGTTGTTGTTGTGATCGAGCTAGTGGCGTTAATGGTGTTGTTGTGAGGTTCACGGAAGACGTATATAGCTTATTGTGGTCGTTCGTGTAACAAGATCCAAATGAAAGATCCGGATTCATCACTCTGGTTAACTGCATATCAGAAAAACACCTTTATTATCGTAACTTAAATCCGGTTTAAATTACGTTCTCACATCTCAAAAGGTAAATTACAATAGAAAAGATTTAACGTACGAGCCTTTGAGAGATAGATACTCCGGATAAACGAATAATATTTGATAATTGAGTGAAGATATACGGAAGTTATAAGGCGGTTATGCGTATATCTGGTGTGCTAGAGGACCCGGTTATAATGGACACAGAGATGTAATATTAATATATGTATGTTATTAAGATTTCGGGTATATTAATTCAAGGTTAGAATGAGATAGACAGACAGACAGACAGACAGACAGAGACAAACAGAGAGACAGACAGAGAGACAGACAGAGAGAGTGTCCCGTCTCCTCTGTCACAAGATACCAACACACATTCTTCTCCATTTTTATAAAGGGGGAAAAAACTCCCTCTATCACTACATCTCCTTCCCTTCCTCTCTCCCTACTACTCCCCTTCCTCCGCTCCCTCCGTCATCCCACTGTTCGTCTTCCTCTACCCCCCTCCCCCACCCCCTCTCCCTCCCCCACCCTCCCCTCCCTCCCCACCCCCTCCTCCCTCCCTCCCTCACCCCCTCCTCCTCCCCCACCCTCCCCCTCCCTCTACTCTCCTCCCCCTCCCTCACCCTCCTTTTTCCCCTTCCCTACCCTCCTCATATACAGAGTCAAATGTTCGGTTAAGTAGTCGTCGGTTTCCTGAATCGTCGTAAAGTTGTCGGATATTACACCACGACCCATGAATCCTGACTTATACACCAGGGGGGTCATAGGGTCGAAAATTACTCCCTAAAGACCCGGGATTATCGACTCTCTGATGTACTGTTGGTTGGCACTGTCTTGTCTCTGGGGTGTAGGAGTATGATGGATTTTTTTTAATCAAATATTTTCTAGTTTTTTTTTTTTACTTAAGGTCGAAAATAATTCTGTAAACGATTGGAATAGTCGACTCTATAGTATACTGTTGGTTGGCACTGTCTTTATCATATTAAGAATTTTATTAACCTTTTTAAGTCAAAATTTTCAAACCAAATTGACCCTTTAAAAAAATGGTATTATAATAAAAGTCTTTCTTGTCATGTTTACTTAGGAGGCGTTAAAAGGTCCGGCAGCCAGGTAATTGAAGACCCCTCGTTACCTGTCTCGGGTAGTGTGTGGGTATCGGGTTTATTGGACAGGTGTTAATAAGGTGTTAATTAATACAGGTGGGTAAGGATTAATTAGTCGTAACTTGCAGGGATTTATTTTCGTTTTTATTGTTTGATGTTGATACATACATACATACATACATACATACATACATACATACATACATACATACATACATACATACATGCATACATACATACATACATACATACATGATATCCCTAGTCCGAGAATTGCTGTTCGACACCACAACCGCATCCAGCCCATACGTGCACGAACTGATCGCTATAAGAACAGCCCAGTCCCAACCATTGTAAAAATTATCAATAACTTGTAATAAATCAGTGTATTCACTCTCAGTAAACACTGCTCCTTACACTGTCACTATGTTGAAATGAACTATAGTTTGAGCTTTTCCCCATCTAGTTATTATATGTCTCATTTGTGTCACTTATGTTACTTGTATATTATTTGTAATTCGTAACCCATTCCCCAAATATGTAACTGTATATTTTCAGCCTTCTGGCTGCCAAGCTCTTTCAATAAACCGTTAATTATTATTATTATTTATTACATACATACATACTCTACATACATACATACATACATACATACATACATACATACATACATACATACTAATTGGAAAAGTTTGTACCTGGCCAGACACCGAGAGGGCCAGGTCAACAATCCGACCTCGTATGTGACCTGAATCTCGAGTCCTTCTCCAGCAGGTTCACGGGTCACGAGACTTAAAGACTCCAACTTGGGACTTGTTTGGTCGGGTCTATTGGGAGAGGGTCTAGTAGGACAGGGTCTAGTAGGACAGGGTCTAGTAGGACAGGGTCTAGTAGGACAGGGTCTATTAGGACAGGGGTCTAGTAGGACAGGGTCTAGTAGGACAGGGTCTAGTAGGACAGGGTCTATTAGGACAGGGTCCTGGACAGGGTCCTAGTAGGACAGGGTCTAGTGGGACAGGGTCTAGTAGGACAGGGTCCTAGTGGGACAGGGTCTATTAGGACGGGTCTAGTAGGACAGGGGTCTGTGGGACAGGGTCTATTAGGACAGGGGCCTATTGGGACAGGGTCTAGCAGGACAGGGTCTAGCAGGACAGGGTCTATTGGGACAGGGGTCTAGTAGGACAGGGGTCTATTGGGACAGGGTCTCTATTAGGACAGGGTCTATTAGGACAGGGGTCTATTAGGACAGGGTCTATTGGGACAGGGGTCTAGTGGGACAGGGTCTATTGGGACAGGGTCCAATGGGACAGGGGTCTATTAGGACAGGGTCTAGTGGGACAGGGGTCTATTAGGACAGGGGTCTAGTAGGACAGGGTCTATTAGGACAGGGTCTATTAGGACAGGGGTCTATTGGTACAGGGTCTAGCAGGACAGGGTCTATTAGGACAGGGGCTCGTCTGACCCGGCTACTGAGCCCCTGTAAACTCTTGGGTAATTGCCAATCACGTTTTACTGTGCTTGGTGTGTTAATGGATGGATGGATGGATAGGAGGGTGGATGGATGGATGGATGGATAGGAGGGTGGATGGATGGATGGATGGATAGGAGGTGGATGGATGGATAGGGAGGGTGGATGGATGGATGGGAGGGTGGATGGATGGATGTGGATGGATAGGAGGGTGGATGGATGGATGGATGGATGGGAGGATGGATGGATGGATGGATTGATGGAACCATACCTTAAGGAATTAATTAAAGATAGATTAGTAAGGTGAGTTAATTCCATTCCTTCCCTCTTCGCTCCTTTTCCTTCCTTACTCCTTACCATCATCGTCAACTCCTCTTCCTCTCCTTTCCACCACTTTCACCTCCTTCTCTCCTTCCCACTAATACTTTCTCCTCCTCCTCCTCACTTTCTTTCTCCTCTTCCCCTTCTCTCCTTCCTCTTTCTCTCCTTCCTTCTGCTTCCCTCTTCCTCCCCATCTCCTTTTTCCCACCTTTTCTACTTCTCTCCCTTTCCCCATAACCATCATCCCTACCACCACTCCCTCCCACCACCACTCTCTCCACCACCAGTACCACCATCACACCACCACCACCACTACCACCATCACCACCACCACCACTACCACCATCACCACCACCACACCACTCCCTCCCTACCCTCCCTCCCACCACCACACCTCCCACCACCTCCCTCCCACCACCCCTCCCTCCCTACCCTCCCCTCCCCTACCACTCCTCCCCACCCTCCCCTCCCACCACCACCTCCCTCCCCCACCTCCCTCCCACCCACACCCCTCCCACCACCACTCCCTCCCACCACCCTCCCCTCCCCACTACCCTCCCCTCCCCACCCTCCTCCCCACCACCTCCCTCCCACCTACCCTCCCTCCCACCACCCTCCCTCCCACCACCACCTCCCTCCCACCACCCTCCCCACCACACCACTCCCTCCCCTACCATCCTCCCTACCACCATCACCCACCACCACTCCCTCCCACCACTACCACTCCTCCCACCACCACTACCACCATCACCACCACCACTACCACCATCCCCACCACCACTACCACCCCAGGTATATACGGCGCTCCAAAAGATGGTCACCTTTAATTACCTGCGGTGGGTGTTGCAGGTGTGTGTGTGTGTGCAGTCAGGTATACATTCTTATTACAGTAGTACGTGAGTGAACATTTATGGACCTAAAGAAATAGTTGAGATACGTTTAAAATTTACGTAGATGCGTCAGAACTGAATTTTTTGCGTAGGTACGATAGATTCCGATGTGTTCTGTTGGTAATATTTCAAGTTGATGTGATGAAATTGGTGTTAAGTAATGTTAATAGTAGTGAATTAACATTATTTTGTAATTTATTTAAGGTTGATATTCTTCAAAGTTCGTAAGATAAATATTTCTCCTAAGATGTAAGAATGAACCCGACTCATTGACTAAACTGATGCACAAAAATATTAAATATGACATCAGAATTTCACTAAGACTTTACCTTAACTATATACGTTGACTTGGAGATAATTAATGTACAGCAACTCTCCAAATGTTTCTCTATGTAATCTTAATTTACCTGGGATTAATTAAACATATCTAGTCAATAAGGTAGAGTCTCAGTGTAATTTTGACGTCATTATTACAGGATTATTGATTTTATTTCATGTTTATCCCAAGTCAGTATATATTTTTTAGTTGTTTTTCCCAGTACGGATTAAACACTGGGATTACAATGGTTTGGTTATCCTTGTTTAACATACATAAAAAATACAATACTGCTACTAAAATTGGCCTGACAGTCGGTGCCAGAGACCTCGAGAGTGTGTGTGTGTGTGTGTGTGTGTGTGTGTGTGTGTGTGTGTGTGTGTGTGTGTGTGTGTGTGTGTGTGTGTGTGTGTGTGTGTGTGTGTGTGTGTGTGTGTGTGTGTGTGTGATTAGAAGCTCGCGACAGTATAGGAAATTAGATTGGTTTATAGATAAGATGAGGAAGGGGGAGGTGGAGAGGAGGAAAGGAAGGAAAGGAAAGAGAGAAGACCACATGAATCGGGTAGATGGAACAGGTCCTTCCTTATCGGGTATAGGACCATCAGTGTGTGGCGAGGATGGCAGGGGTGACGAAGGGTGATGGGGTGATGGGATGTGACGTGGGGGTGATGGGATGTGACGTGGGTGATGGGATGTGACGTGGGGTGATGAATGTGACGTAGGGTGATGGGATGTGAGCGGTGATGGGGGTGATGGGGTGATGGGATGTGACGTAGGGTGATGGGGGTGATGGGATGTGACGTAGGTTGATGGGGTGATGGGATGTGACGTGGGTTGATGGGGATGGGATGTGACGTGGGGTGATGGGATGTGACGTAGGGTGATGCGAGGAGGGTTGAGACGAAGTAATGGGGTTGGGGTTACGGGATGTGACGGAATGGGATGGGGTGACGGGAGAAGATGGGATGATGGAGAGTGACGGGGTAACGTAGGGTGATGGGGATGACTTAGTGTGACGGAAGGTGACGGGGGAGGTGACGCCAAGATCCTGTTTATAAGTTGTCTCAGGACCTCATCAGTTTAATGTGCAATGTGACGCCTTGTGACGGACGGGTAGAGAAGAGTGTGTGTGTGTGTGTGTGTGTGTGTGTGTGTGTGTGTGTGTGTGTGTGTGTGTGTGTGTTGTCCAATAAGCGCCATACTCTGTCTCCTCCTCCTCCTCCTCCTCCTCCTCCTCCTCCTCCCCTCTCACCCAGGTAGCAGCACTGTGGTGGAATTCCTGTCATTGTTAAATTAAAGAAACTGAGCTTGGTAGATGCTGGTGCAGTCCCCACCTACGTCCTCCCTCCCTCCCTCTCCTTGTCTCCCTCTTTCTCCCTATCTTCCCCCCTTCCTCTCTCCTTCCCATCACCATCCACCATTCGTCCCTCCCTCCCTCCCTCCCTCCTCCAACATTAATAAACATTTGACGGTAAAAAGTAAAACAAAAAAATCAAATGTTTATTTATATATTAGACAAACATTAACATTTCCTCCTCACCTTATGATGAACATTAATATTTACAAAGGAATAATAATTACATAATACAATTTTTATTTAATTGTGTCCTACTGTTATTATTTATGTTTACACGAGGAAGAATAAATCTGTATATTGACGTAAACATTCGAATGTGTTTATGCTATAGTAAATATTTCACATGTTTATCTTGTTAACAGTTGTAAATAATAAACATGTTGCCTTATTTGTTGTTGTAATGTTGTAATGTTGATGTGTGTTGTGTTGTGTCTCGAGCTTGTTACTTGATCCCTAACAACCACCCACTTGTTATTGAGGCCTTTGAGTGAACTACCGTACTTGGCTGCAACCTTTTGAGTATTGCTTGTAACTTTTCTTGCAATACTGCCGAACATTATTACTTTTCAACAAACATTGTATACAACTTTCCTACAACAAAACTATCTACCTACAATATAAACACAATTGCCTTTTAACATTAATTTTCAACATCAGTTTGCAACACTACTACCTGCCAACACTACCTACCAACACTACTACCTGCCAACACTACCCTCAACATTACCTGCCAACACTACCCTCAACACTACCTACCAACACTACTACCTGCCAACACTACTACCTGCCAACACTACTACCTGCCAACACTACCTGCCAACACTACCTACCAACATTACCTGCCAACACTACCCTCAACACTACCTACCAACACCACTACCTACCAACACTACTACCTGCCAACACACCTCAACATTACCTGCCAACACTACCCTCAACACTACCCTCCAACACTACCTACCAACACTACTACCTGCCAACACTATCTGCCAACACTACCTACCAACATACCTACCAACACCTCCAACACTACCTGCCAACTACTACCTGCCAACACTACTACCTGCCAACACTACCTTTGAACATTACCTGCCAACACTACTACCTGCCAACACTACCTTTGAACATTACCTGCCAACACCTGCCAACACTACCTACCAACATCACTTTCCAACATTACCTGCCAACACTACCTACCAACATACTACCTCCCAACACCACCTGCCAACACTACTACCTGCCAACACTACACCAACATTACTACCTCCCACACACTACCTGCCAACACTACTACCTGCCAACACCTGCCAACACTACTACCTGCCAACACTACCTACCAACATTACTACCTCCCAACACTACCTGCCAACACTACTACCTGCCAACACTGCCACCACTTGGTTCTGAGGCAGCTGTCGTGTCATCAGTCGCAACATCGAAATGCGTAAAAGCTGTTTGATAATCAGCTTCTCTTAATTAGGTTTACTCGCGTCTTTGATGTCGCCTTTTCTGCTAATTAGATTGTAATTAGTCATGATGGGTAAAACGAGGTGCTACGGATCAGGGAATGGGGGTGATAGTGGTGGTGGTTGGTGTTGATAGTGGTGGTGGTGGTTGGTAGTAGTGATAGTAGTAGTGATGGTGGGGTGTTTGGTGGTAGGTGGTGATGTGTGGTAGTGATAGTGGTGGTGTTTGGTGGTAGTGGTGGTGATAGTGTAGTGATAGTGGTGGTGTTTGGTGGTGTGTGGTAGTGATAATGGTGGTGCTGGTTGGTAGTGATAGTGGTGGTGTTTGGTGTAGTAGTGTGGTGGTTAGTGGTGATGTTTGGTTGTGGTGGTAGTGGTGGTGTTTGGTGGTGATGGTGGTGTTTAGTGGTGATAGTGGTGGTGTTTAGTGGTGATAGTGGTGGTGTTTGGTGTGAGTGTGAGTAGTGGTGTTTAAGTGTGTGATAGTGGTTGGTGGGTGTAGTGGTGGTGATAGTTATGATAGTGGTGGTGTTTGGTGGTAGTGGTGGTGATAGTGTGGTGGTGTTTGAGTGGTGATAGTGGTGAGTGGTTGGTGGTAGTGGTGGTGATAGTGGCAATTGATTTGGTGGTGTTTGGTGGTAGTGGTGGTGATAGTGGTGGTGTTTAGTGGTGATAGTGGTGGTGGTTGGTGGTGGTGATTTCGTCTCTGGGGGGGTGTGTTGTGCATTCATTTCTCTGTCTCTTTCTCTTATTTTCTCTCTCATTCTCTTACTTTCTTTCTCATTCTCTTGTTTATTTTATCTCTGATTATCATTGTTTATCTTTCTCCTTTTTTTTCTCTTTCATCTTTTTTTATTTATTTTCTCTCGTTTTTATTTTCTTCTCTCTTTTATTTCTCTATCTTCCTTTTTCCACTTTCTTTTATTTTTCATTTTGCCTTTTGTCTGTGTTTCTTTCTTTCTCTCTTTCTTTATTCTTCCCTCCACTTCTCCCTTCCCTTTCCCTTCATGATTTGCATATACCGTAATCCTCTCTCTCTCTCTCTCTCTCTCTCTCCGGAGTCTTCCTTATTCTGCTCTCTTCCTTCCTTCTTTCCTCCAACCTTTCCTCCCTCCCTCTTCCTCTACTTTCCTTCCCTCCTCTATGGCTTCCCCCTCTCTTCTCCCTCCCTCTTCTTCACCTTCCAATTAGTCACCTTTATTGTCATCTCTTGTTTACCTCCACACACACACACACACACACACACACACACACACACACACATACACACACCTGACTGAAGATGGGGATAAATTTCATAGCATTTTTGTGTCTGTATGTTCGTTAGTACTAAGGGAAGCGTGTTAAATATGTCCCCTCATTTATTAAAGGGGAAAAAAAAGGGTATAGAACCATAATGAAAGAGTTTAATTAACAATTACATCGTTGCCCTAATTAAATTTCAGGAAGGATAGGACGAACACAAAAAATAATAATAATAAATAATTTGTCGAGTTTACACCAATTTGATAATGAGGAATCCTACCCCCCCTCTACCCCCTCTACCACCCCTCTACCCCCTCCCATTATTTACCCCTTAATAGGTGTCATTAGGGTAAATAATGGTTAGGGTTAAATTACCTGATTATCCTTAAGAGCTGGAAGACGGTCTGGATTCACATAGATTCTTACGACTTTATTTTGATTTGGTTTTAATTGTTAGGTTAGGTTAGGTTAGTTAAATTAAGGTTAGGTTAAGGAGTGTGGACGTAGATGCGGGTGTTTACTGACCCATATAGTTACAGAGAGAGAGAGAGAGAGAGTTATCACTTCTAGGAACAGCGAACCACTACACACTTGCTTATCTCCGCGTCTTACACACACACACACACACACACACACACACACACACACACACACACACACACAACAGTCTCCTAAAGAAGTACATATCTCTCTGACGCGCCTCCAACCATCCACCAACCTTCCCTACTCGGGGCACTGTATCTTCCTGAAGTAGGTGAAACTTCCTGAAGGAGGTGAAGATACAACACAAGGACCTAACACCCTGTAGGCGAGGTGGAGAACGATCCTCTTAAACTAGCTCTGCACCGCTGGCCGTAACACACAACTAGCTGCCCTCGCTAGTTAGATACACCTCGTGCCAATCCCTTGCTTTAAAAAGGTTCTCATGATTTGCATACGAAGCTCCTGGAGATTCTGGGTATTGTGTTTTGTGTCTCTGAGGTGTTGTGAAGGAAGGAGGGGGTGAGGGAAGGGTGGAAGGAGGAGTAGGTGTTTGAGGGAATGAATGAAGGAGGGAGGGAGGAAAAAAAGGAAGCAGTAGGTTTTGTGAGAGAAGGAGGGAAGGAGTGAGGAAGGTAAGAGGGAAGGAGTGAGGAAGGGAGGGGGGAAGGTAAGAGGGAGGAGATGTTGTGAGGAAACGAATGAATGAAGGAAGGAAGGAGGGAGGAGGTCGTGTCGGATAAGGCTTCTGTTAATCCAAATGTTAGAGTTGGAAGCGAGTGCAATGGGTATTCCTTCTCACACACCCATCTTGTGTGAAAAACATATCACCTGAAGATTAACCCCCCCCCTAGATGAGTTTAGGTTAGGTTAGCTTAACTTAAATTAGGTTAGCTTAGGTTAGATTAGGTTTAATCAATCGGAAAATACAAATATTAATGGTCAGTGAATCGGTAAAGATGGGTAGAGAACACACACACACACACACACACACACACACACACACACACACACACACACACACACACACACACACACACACAAAACAACAACAGTACTACAGTGTTTTTGTTGTCCAAGTACACTTTTGTTTTTGCTCTGCCTACACCGCAGTCTGGTCGTAGTCAGGCTGGCCACGATATACAGTACAGTAATAAACAGTCTTCTTACAGTCTACCCACAGTCTGCCTACAACCTACTTACCGTCTACCTACAGTCTACACAGTCTTCCCATATTTTAGCCACAGTCTACTCACAATCTGCTCACAGTCTAGCCATAGTCTGCCCATATTCTACCCACAGTCTACCCACAGTCTGCCCATATTCTACCCACAGTCTCCTCACAGTCTGCCCATATTCTACCCACAGTCTCCTCACAGTCTGCCCATATTCTACCCACAGTCTCCTCACAGTCTGCCCATATTCTACCCACAGTCTCCTCACAGTCTGCCCATATTCTACCCACAGTCTCCTCACAGTCTGCCCATATTCTACCCACAGTCTCCTCACAGTCTGCCCATGATATTCTGTTCCACAGTCTCCTCACAGTCTGCCCATATTCTACCCACGTCTCCTCACAGTCTGCCCATATTCTACCCAGTCTCCTCACAGTCTCTGCCTCTTATTCTACCCACAGTCTACCTGATCTGCATATTCTACCCACAGTCTACCCCACAGTCTGCCCATATTCTACCCACAGTCTCCTCACAGTCTGCCCATATTACCACCACAGTCTCCTCACAGTCTGCCCATATTCTACCCACAGTCTCCTCACAGTCTGCCCATATTCTACCCACAGTCCTCACAGTCTGCCCATATTCTACACAGTCTCCTCACAGTCTGCCCATATTCTACCCACAGTCTACCCACAGTCTGCCCATATTCTACCCACAGTCTACCCACAGTCTGCCCATATTCCACCCGCAGTCTACCCACAGTCTGCCCATATTCTACCCACAGTCTCCTCACAGTCTGCCCATATTCTACCCACAGTCTCCTCACAGTCTGCCCATATTCTACCCACAGTCTCCTCACAGTCTGCCCATATTCTACTCACAGTCTGCCCACAGTCTATCCACAGTGTGGCCAGAGCCGCGGGTCATCTCGTGACTGGCGTTGGTGAAGGACGTTCGTAAAACTAATTAATTCTGGGAATGTCGTGAGTTTGTTCCATAATGTTGGCCCTCCCCTCTCACCCCTCTCACTGCCACCCCTCTAACTGCCACCCCTCTAACTATCAGCCTTCTCACCCCATTCACTGTCACCCTTTCATCCGTCTCACTGTCACCCCTCTCACTATCACCCCTCTCACCCCTCTCACTATCACCCCTCTCACCTCTCTCACTATCAACCCTCTCACCCCTCTCACTGTGACCACTCTTACCCTTCTCACTACCACACCTGTCACCCTGTCATTATCCCAGGTGTTGACAGGTTCAGTGTAATGAACATTAGTTTGGGAGTTATTAAGGTAGGAATTTATAAGGTCCCGTTACCTGACGTGTGTGTGTGTGTGTGTGACTCTCTCTCTCTCTCTCTCTCTCTCTCTCTCTGTGTCCTTCCCGCACGTAGTCCCTCCTTACCCCCCACCACCATCACCCACACCACCCCTTACCACCACCATCTTTACCACCACCATCCTTACCTATTCCTCTCTCCCATTTCTCCTCCTCCACACACGTACTCTCTCCCTACCCCTTACCACCCCCCACCCCCCCCCACCTCAGTGTCAGCCATAAATCTCAATGCTCGCAACAGTCGTTAGATTCCGTGACCCTGGGGAGGTAGACCTTCGCCCCAAACTGTGTTACTGGTGATGTATCTCTCAGGCTCAGGTACTGCTGCGCCTTCTTCCTGTTCTGTTGGCCGAAGTCTCCTCTTATCACGGGTCTTGTGGGTGGGGGGTTACGGGTGTGTCGGTTTTGAGGGTGTGGGGAGTTTTGAGGGTGTGGGTTGAGGGTGTGGGGAGTGTTGAGGGTGTGGGTCTTGTGGTTTGAGGGTGTGGGTCTTTTGTATGTAGGTTTAATAGTACTACATTATTCATGGATACAGACACTTCACTGGATGATGTACACATACACACACACACACACACACACACATACACACACACACACACACACACACACACACACACACACACATGCTTAAGGGTGTCATAAGTGGGTCTTGGAGCAGTGGTGGAGACGTCATACAGCCGCCACTCACCATAGAGAGGTGGAGGAGGGGAAGTAGCACGGGTAGTAGCAGGAAGGGGGCCACTTACTCTCCCTCTAGGTCACATTCATACCGGGTTTGGGGGATAGTTAGTAGTTACCTTTCCATCCCCTTCCTCTCCCCTTCCTCTATCCTCCCTTTTATCCTTCTTCCCTCCTCTTCCTTCTTCTTCTTCTATTCCTCCTCTTCCTTCTTCTTCTTCTATTCCTCCTCTTCCTTTCTTTTTCATCACCTCGTCACCATCATCCTGGTCCTTCTTCACCTGTTCTTTTTCATTTTCCTCCTCCCTCATCCTCCCTCTTCCTCCTCCTCCCCCTCCCTCCTCCTCCCTCTTCCTCCTCCTCCCCCTCTTCCTCCTCCTCACAAACATCATGGTTTAATTCCAATACACCACTAATTACCTCTCTACCATCTAACAAGGTGATTCAACAACTCCCAACCTCCCCTGGTCAATGTTGTAAGCCTGGGGTTATTAACAATCTTGGTCGAACCCTGGTGTAGTTGTAATGCATGAGCCTTTGAGCCAGTTAGCCATCTTGCAACTAACTCGATATATCCACCTGTCAATTGTTATGCAAATTACTTTCTGGTAACACTGGGGAATTTCTCGACACTGCATTACACACAGACAGACAGAAAATGGTTTGTGGGAAGGGTGTGTGTGTGTATGTGTGTGGGAAGGGTGTGTGTGTGTGTGTGTGTGTGTGTGTGTGTGTGTGTGTGGGAAGGGTGTGTGTGTGTGTGTGTGTGTGTGTGTGTGTGTGTGTGTGTGTGTGTGTGTGTGTGTGTGTGTGTGTGTGTGTGTGTGTGTGTGTGTGTGTGTGTGTGTGTGTGTGTGTGTGTGTGTGTGTGTGTGTGTGTGTGTGTGTGTGTGTGTGTGTGTGTGTGTGTGTGTGTATGTGTGTGGGAAGGGTGTGTGTGTGTGTGTGTGTGTGTGTGTGTGTGTGTGTGTGGGAAGGGTGTGTGTGTGTGTGTGTGTGTGTAGACTTCAAAACTCTTAACACCCCGCCACCCATCCCATCACCTCCATCCCATAACAACTTATAACAAGCTTGAAGAAACTACAAAGTAAAAATAATACAACTTTTTTTTTTATATAGACTTTTTTTCTTTACATTTACGTCACTTAAATATTATTCGTTAGTTTAAAAGAGTTAGTTAAGGGGAATATTTTATACTTGAGGTTTTGTTAATTTATTTCTGACTTTTGTTAATTTATTTAGTTCTCATTGATATTTTCTTCGTTGTCTTTCGGTCTCGTGGTGTGTTTTTCTCGGTCTCTCGGTCTCGTGGTGTCTTCATCTCTGTCTCTCGGTCTCGTAGTGTCTTCCTCAGTCTCTCGGTCCCGTCTTCTCACCCAAGGTCACCAAGGTCAATAATTTCGGGGGTCTGTTGGGTAAATAGTGCATAGGTCATACTACGTCATTCAAGGTCAGCGGTTGACCTATTTAAACAGCTGGTGACCCATTTTAGACAGCCTTTGACCTCAGCCAGACAGCATTACCGTGAGCGTCTCTATACCTCCATAACCATCAAATTAACATTAAGAATCTCCAACATATTTTATTGTCTCTTAAGAAAACATTAACCCTACTGTTAGTGGATGTAAAGTCGTATTCCCCAAGTTTTAATACTCAAGAAATATATTTTAAAATCACCTGAGTCTTTTTATTTTAAATTTTATTAATTTTTGGAGTTTTATAAAAAAAAATATAATTTTAGTTTTTATTTGATTTTTTTAAAAATTATTTTTCATGTATTTTTTGTGTTGATTTTTTAGTTTTTTTTCTTTTAGTATGAGAATCATTATTTTTTGTGGAATTTTGTATTTTTTTTATATGAAATGTGTGTGTGTGTGTGTGTGTGTGTGTGTGTGTATGTGTGTGTGTGTGTGTGTGGGATCATAGGAAAGTCTCTGTCTCAATTCTTTATTTATTTTCTTTATTTTCTTTCATAATTTGTCTTATCTTGTCTTTTTTCTCTGTCTTGTTTTTTTCATTTTCTTATTCTTTCATTTCTTATGTTGTGTTACGTTGGTTCTTTCTTTGTGATATTTCGTTTTCTTGTTCTTCATTCATTATCTTGTTCTTTCATTTTCTTGTTCGTCTTCTTTCATTGTCTTATTCCTTCATTTTCCTCTTCTCTATCACACTATTATCGAGTATATTCTTTGTTTCTCCCTATTCTCATCGTGTCTATTCTTACATTGTCTTTATCTCAAATTCTCTCATTCTTACATTATTTTATTCCCACATTCTCATTTTACCTTATCTTTTATCACAGTGTCGTATTTCTCCCTGTTATCGAGCGTTTCCTCTTCCTTCTCCTCGGTGTTGTCTCTGAGTTCCTCCCTGACACGCGACCACAAAATTGTAAACAAACAGTCAACTTTTCCCGCGCTTTTATCCTCATCGTGAACGGGTTTTATGGTCGCCTACATATCCTTTATATTTCCTTATGACGACAGAAAACGTTTTACTGGTTGGAAAAAAACGTGTATGACTGTCAGAAACGTTTATAGGTGTGAGCAACTGTTGGAGGCGTGTGTGTGTGTGTGTGTGTGTGTGCGTGTGTGTGTGTGTGTGTGTGTGTGTGTGTGTGTATGTGTGAATTCAGAAATTATAGACCTATCATAATTGGTTTATTTTTAACACATCTTAGTTCAATAATGGATTAACTCTTACTGAACCCTGATTTAGTTTGTATTATTGTATCTACTGTATAAACTGTATTTTATGTAATGTTATTCTTTTATTATTATATATCGATGTTAAATGAATAATTAATGATGTGACGTATACTTCTTCTTCAGTATATTGTTTGTGCTGTCAGGTGTAGTGTCTCGGTTAGGTTAGGTTAGGTTTCGTTAGGTTAGGTTTTCTACGTTATTTTTATTTGTTTGTTCGCCTCAAAATATTACACACACAACATTAGAATAAAATGAGTCTTTTTAACTCCGTGTGTCTGGTAGTTTGGCAGACTCAACGACCCGTTAATGTGTTATCACGACAGTTACCTCTGAGTGCCAAGGTAACTTAACACTGCTTCATAAGTGCCAAGGTAACTACTCAGCGTCTCAAGTGCCAAGGCAACTTATCAGTGCCTCATTATAAAACATACCATGGCAACTTGAGTATAACAACTAGGATATGGCAACTAGAGCATGACAATTAAACTATGTGAACCAGAAAATGGCAACCAGAATATGACATCCTGCCACCACCAACCCCCCCGCCACCACCAACCCCCCGCCACCACCAACCTCCCGCCACCACCAACCCACCGCCACCACCAACCTCCTGCCACCACCAACCCACCACCACCACCAACCTCCTGCCACCACCAACCCACCACCACCACCAACCTCCTGCCACTAATTAACTCCACCACCACCACCAACTCTTCCTGCCACTCACCAACTCCACCACCACCACTAACCCCAAGTGTCCACCAACTCCACCACCACACCATTAACCCCGTCCACCACTCACCACACACCATCACCCCAGCACCACGACCACCACCTCTCTCTCACCACCGCCTCCACCTCCGTCGTGAACCAACTAATGAGGAAATAGAATGAAGATGGCACTGGAGGCTAACTAATGGTGCTTTTAAAGCTGGGGGGGTGGGGGGGGGAGGGGGAGACACGCCGCTGTCAGCCCCAGGAAATATTGCTGGGCTTAGGGGCGACTCTTCCCTGCCCTTGACGGAGAAGAGGAGCAAGAAGAGGAAAAAGAAGAGAGGAAACGAAAAAAGGAAAGGTCACCCTGGCCTTGAAGTGTAGAAGAAGAGGAAGAAGAAGACACTTGATCTGGCTTTGAGAGAAAAGAGAATGCGGGCGAAGACGAATGAAAGGAGGAAGAGAAGAGGAAGGAGAGAGGATAAAGAGA